GTGGCTCAACAGCGTATGCCACTTGGATGGTTTCATTCGTTCGTCTGTTTAAATAGCAGGAGTTTTCACAGCAGCTCGATTATGCTATTGCTTATTTACGAAAGCACAAACATAAAAAGAGAAACAACCCGTTTTCTGCTCATTAGGATCAGAATCGTCGATTCTAATCTGGTATTTTTCGTTTACCATCTTTTTGCAAATGACTCGTTTTAAAATTATTTAGACCAAAGTTAGTTAGTAAAGTTTTTAAAGAATGATGAAAACAAAAGGCGAAGTTTCGAACGCTCCATTGAAGATTTTCGGTTTCCTTGGAAACATTTTTCAGCTTGATAAATTTTCGTCTCACCGATTACCTTAATCTAGAGAGATCGCCGAGGCCGATCGCTTGGTTTGCACTCTGTCAGGCCCACAGTCTACTACTTTTATTTCGTGAACGCTTTAAACATCTCAAACAGATATGCAAGGGGAGTTCGCGCAACGCTGCAAAACCTTCCACGAAATTTCCCACGTGCTCCAGCCTATCACAATCTTATGAGAATAAAATCACGCAGAACTCCGACTAGGGGATTTTTATCCCCTAGCACTTACGCAACGGTGGATACTACCGATGCGCCATGCGAGTATTCTGTGGTCATTTCGAAGTTCCATTCCGCGTCTAATGGAAGATGAAGTTTATCACGGAACATGTGGATTCCTCGAAAAGGCAATCAGCAAAGTATCCAGGCTACTCGATTCGGGTTCATTGACTTTTCGCATCATAATGAGCGTGAATTGTTGAGAGGGGAAGAGTGGATGTTAAGACAATGGTAATTGTGACTGTTGATGAGATAAGGGGTTTGACCGACGCTAGAGTTCGGAGTGTATAACAGACGTCTAAAAACCCAACCTATAAATTCGGATAGGACAACATCCGTAGTTCCGTCAACCACCTTGAACACTACGTCATCAAATCATCCTACTTCGGCTTTCGACAATGAATTCTATTGTCCTGATTTGTGGTATCTGTTGTGTATGCTACTAAAGAAGAGTTCAGTGTGGAGCTCGGCTGTAATGTACCTCGATTACTGAGTATGATGCGTCCGGGCCAGAGCAGAGGGATTGCGCGTGACAAATGACAAGACAGCAATTCCAAGAAGTTTTCGACTCTGTCTGAGTCTCAATACATTCGAAATCTAGGCAACCCGAAGGCTACAAACAAAAGAATCTTAGCAACCGAACCACGTAAACGTGTTGTAGGACATCAAAGACAATCGGATCTAACTCACTGCAAATGTGACAGCTAACTAATCATGTGTGCGAAAAATAGCTTCAACAATAACAGATGTGGATTCGTCGGAGAAATAGTCAACAACTTACCCGTGCCGCTCGGTTCGGATATTTTGGCTGTGCGTATCAGGATAAGTGTGAGGTTTGGCGACAGAAAGGGTGGAATTTGAGATGATGGTAAATGTGATTAATGATGACATGGGAGATTTAACTGAGGTGAGTTGTTGAATCGTATAAGACAATTTTGAGTGAACCACCCGCAATTTTCAAGGAGACGACACGCTCAGTTGTATCAATCGCACTGATAGCCACGTCCTCTTCTTGTTCTAACCGGATCCTTGACAATCCATTCCATGGTTTTGCATTCTCTGGTATGCAAAATGAATGCTAGTTAACGAGAATTCTGTGTAAAATTTGGCTGTTTTG